AAAAAAAAACATATAAAATACAATATCATCAGGACACTAAAAAGGAAACATTTGATTTAAAAATTTATCACATAGGATGACCTCCTGTAATATCAAATATAATAATAAATTAAATAAAACCATGGAAACAAGGAAAGTGGTGGAAAAGAATACTGACTTAACTCTACAGGTCTGGATAGAAACCAACTCTGCAATTTTGTGCCCAAAGTTACCAGAAGAAAACATAAATGAATATTTTAAAAGTGGACAGATTTAGAATGAGAGGGTGTGTGTGTGTGTGTAGAGACCGAGTACCAATCAGAGGGGGGAAAGATGTTTTATGAACAAAACAAGGATTCATGAACATGTCCAGTTTCTTTGCCCTCAGAAAAGGAAAACACAGAGAAACAGTGTGAATCCTACACAGAACCTGGTCTGCAACTTATCTAGTGAATACACGACGAGAAAAGCAGGTAGTCAGAACAGAAATACTGCTTGGCATGTGTCCTGGTTTATAAGGAGACAGTCTCAGAACTGGACTAACTCTGACACAGGAACTATGGGAACGAACACCCGAGAAAGCATCACTATCGAGAAAAGTACCACTGATAAAAACATTGGACAAAGAAAGAAAATTACACCTTCATCTAAAAGGATTACAATATCCAGGAAACTGAATCTCTATGCCTTTTAATATAAGCATCAAAAGCTATCAATTCACAAAGATATAATCTGGGGAGGAAGAAACTGTAGAGTTTTATAGTTTACTTGAAATTTCCACCCTTTAACTTTATTGGTTTTATTTATTTTTGATCCTTTTGCTTTTTGAGTGTGGGGAAAACAAGCATTACCACTGTGTCTTGCTAAAATAACAGTCCCACTATAGAGCCCTGGCTGGCTCCGAATTTACTATGCAGTATGCAGACCTGGACTAGCCTTGAACTCAAAAGTCCACCTGCCTTGACCTCCCAACTGCTGGAATCAAAAGTAGTACACCACCACACCCAACCTTCAAAAAGTTATTTATTTTTATTTTATGTGCATTTGTGTTTTGTTTGCATGTATGTCTGCGTGAGGGTGTTGGATCTTTTGATCCAACTGGTTACAGATAGTTGTGAGCTGCCATGTGAGTGCTGGGAATGAACCGAAATTCACTGGAAGAGCAGCCAGTGTTCTTAACCTCTGAGTCATCTCTCCAACTCCCAAAAGGTATTAATAAGAGTACAATATAGGTCAAATAAAATTAGCCAAGAGCTGATAAATGATAGATAAATAAGGATATTATTCTCTTCACACATATATGTTCAGAGTTGGCATTTCTATAATGAATTAGTTTTCTTCTTTCGTTTTTTTTTTTGAGAAAGGGTCTCATCTAGGCGAGGCTGTCCTAAACTTGATTCATAGGCAAGAATGGCCTTGAACTTCTGGTCCTACTGCCTCCACCAGCGGCTCTCAACCTATGGGTCATGATCCCTTTGGGGAGTCAAACAACCCTTTCACAGGGGTCGCCTAAGACCACTGGAAACACATATATTTACATGATGATTCACAACAGTAGCAAAATTACAGTCATGAAGTAGCAATGAAAGTAACTGTATGGTTGGGGGTCACCACACCATGAGGAACTGTAGAGGGCTGCAGCATTAGGAAGGTTGAGAACCACGGTCCTACATGATGGAATTCCAGGCATGCACCACCACACTCCATTTTTTATTCAGTGCTAGGAGTCAAAACCAGAGATTTCTACATGCTAGGAAAGCATCCTATCAACTGAATACATCCTCAGCCCTATAGTAAAGTTTTATTACATTGAGTTCAGAGAAATATTACATAGTTCCTATACTGTAAATTCCTTAGTGGCCAGAAAAATCACATGATAGGAAAAACAAAATGATGGTATACTATAGTTGAGGATTGATAGTATATATAACTTCTGAGTAATTCACATGAGAATTTTATATCTCTGTATCTGAACATCTATTTTCCATATCAGAAGCAGCAAAATAGAACAAAACCATTACTTACCCATATCTTTGGAATTGATAGTCGAATGTTAACTCTGAGCCTGAAGGAACCAGTTTGGTAGTAAAAAATCCAACCCTCAGTTGTCCATTCACAGTCCACTGAAATGTTTTGAAGAGAATAGACATTAGTAACTAACTGACTAATGTTTGT